GATTAGAGAATCATTGATCAGCTGCCTCCTGCCCACCCTTACAAGGATGGAACCTGTAACCTGGAAATGTGGCCTTGACTGTAGGCAGAAGCTCTATACACTAAGCCAAACTGGCTAGAGCATTTTGTTTTTGTTTTTGTTTTGTTAATCCTCAGCGGGGGACATTTTTCCATTGACCTTTAAGAGAGAGTGGAAGAGAGAGGGAAAGACAAGGGAAACATTTATGTGAAACACATTGATTGGTTGCCTCCTACATGCACCCTGACCATGCTCTGGGCTCTGCGAGGAGCCTGCAACCAGGATACATGCCCTTGACGGGAACCGAACCTGGGACCCTTTAGTCAACAGGCCTACACTCTATTTACTGAGCCAAACTGGATAGGGCCAGGAATTCTTTATGATTGGCTTACAAGATAGTTAACAAAATTATGTGCTCCCATCTGAGAAAAAATGATTCCTCTGGCATTTCAAAGGCGTGTTAACCTAAGTGCACAAGAACAATGGACAGGGTTCCTATAGGCAGAGATAAACCTTTCACTGAGTTATAGGCCTGGGACATGTCTTCCCAACATGACCTTCCCAGTTAGGAATTTATGATTGGATCACCTTGTGAGACCAAAAGTAGGGTTACTATTGTTTGTATGGAAAATAATGCAAAGAATAATAATAATATAATAATAATACCCTATGTTTCTCATACTCACAACTTTGCTCCACTATATCAGATAGGGCCCCCATAACTAGGAACTAAAAGATCAAGGGAATGATTCAGCTAGGTGTCAGATTGTCTTTCTAACTTCTAACTCTCTCCACAGGAACTTCTCCCTCTTTCTGTATAATTAGCTAATTTATACTGATGGCAGTGCAGACTGATGAATGCCAGCTCAAAATATGTGACTTCTGAGATAATGGCACCGATGGGATACTCTGTAGGCCTTCAACTCAACCTTTCCAAGATGAAACTGACACTTTACATTCTTTGAGAGTTGCTTTTTCTGCTATCCTAACATTGATCACTCTGGTACCCATGGAATTGTTTTACTCCAGGGGAACTCAATCAGGCTGATTTTGTCTTCTCTTAGGACAATTAGCCAAGTCTAGAGACATTTCCGATGATCACGACTTAGTGCTGGCTTCTAGTGGGTAGAGGCCAAGGATCTGTGAAACATTTTACAGGACACAGAACAGACCCCTGTGACAAATTATTCAAATCCAAAATTTCAATATTGCTGATGTGAAATCCTGGTGTAGACTGTTGAAAAATAATATTAAATATTTTACCTAAAAAAAGAATCCCAACTAATATTCTCTATTAGTGTATCATGATATTAATAACAGTGGGTGCAGAGACCTTTCAGAGCTCAAGGTCTCCAGCCTTCTGGGTTCCTGCTCAACACTCCTCTGCTAATGAAGACAATGGACGGCTTCCGACAGCAGTTGAGCCTAAAATAATGACTGACACATAAGAAAATAATCAGTATATATAGGTTTGATAAGTTGAATAAACAAACGTGGTTCTGGAGGGCCCGCCAGTAACATTGTCTCCTGACTACAGTAGATGGGCCAAAGTGGAAAGAAGACATGCCTGTGCCAATTTAGCATCCTTTTCTACGCATTTTGTTTAAAACAAAGGAGCTTAAATGCATCTGGTTTCTATTAAGCAGTGAAATTACTAGATGTGAGTAGTGAGAGCACCTATTTCCCATGTCTCTTTTTATGTGGAGGTAACCAGTTTGAGAAAATAAAGCTGATACTCTGGAAGGGAATCCTCAAGGAGTTTGAGCCTCTGTGTGCAGCTGTGCCAGTGTACAGCTGAGTCTCTGCTCCACTAGATTCAGATGAATCAGGAGATTCTGTCACTGGTCACCAAAGCACACCTGTCCAGTGGGGCCTCACCTCTATGTGAGCCAGTATCAGGAGATGGTCATGCTCAAAGAAAATCAGCAAGAGAGATTTTCCACCTTCTCAGCTCAAGACGAATGAGTCGATTATTGGCAAATTGTAAATCACTCATGTCCTGTCATAGGTTGAATAACCTCCCAAAGATTTTCATGTATTAAGCTCTAGAACTTGTGAATATGTTAGCTAAGATGGTAATAGTCACTTCAAAAATGTGATTAAGTTAAGCATCTTCCGATGGGGAAAGTATTGTAAGTTATCCGGGTGGGTTCAACGTAATTACAAGGGTCTTTATCAGAGGAAGCTAGAGGGATTAGGGAGAGATTTGATGATATTCTATTGTTGAGTTTAAAGATGGAGGAAGGCTTCACAGGCTAATGAATGCAAAAGATTTCTAGAATTAGGAAAAGGCAAAGAAAAAGATTCTCTTCCCGAGTTCCTAGATGGGAAGCAATCCTGATGATACATGTCAGACTTCTGCTCTCTAAGGTTGTAAGTTATTTTAAGTCACTAGACATGGCAATTTGCTATAGCAGCAATAGGAAACTAATACACCTCTTTAAAAAAAATGTATGCATCTCATTGGCCCTGGCTTAGATCAGATCTCCATCATATCTCCCCAGGACTATTTTAATAGGCTCTGATTTTTTCCATTTGGGGAAATTCTAAAGTCCTCACATTATACCTATGATGATGACATGGCTCTGGTGCTAATTTGCTTATAAAATCCTTAGTAAGTCAAACTATACTATTAAATAAATAGAGGCCCAGTGCATGAATTCATGGATGGGTGGGATCCTTTGGGGTGACCTACAGGGATCAGGCCAAAACTGGCAGTCCAATGCTGCCTGCCTCTCCTGCTTGCTTCTCCCTCTCATCCAGGCCCTGCCATGCCTGTCAAGGGCGCACTCCCAATCAGTAGCAGCAGTGCTGGCCAGCTGTGAGCCCTGCATCTGGTGCCCATCCAGAGTGAGGTACGAGTAGGGAGAAGGGAGTCCCATCCAGTGGGACGCCCTTGCTGGCCTGGGATCTGGAACCATCCCACTAATGTTCACGCTAGTTGTCAGGAGTCACCTCGTGGCTAGTTTTATATTGTTTCTTTTTTTGGAGCATCTAGGGAGAGGAAGTGGCCTTGGTATCTAAGGTCATTTCCCAGGAGGCCTGTGGCACTGCTGAGATGGTGCTGTGTCTCCAGTTCATCAGTACCTGGCCCATTCTCTGAAGATTGGACCTGCTGGACTACTGAGGGAGTGAGTGGCTGCCACCGGTCTGGATGGGCCACCATAATGGGTGGGTCAATTGAGTGGCAGTCTTGATGTGAAAGCCCACTGACTATCAGAAGGTAGCTCCTACATGGAGCATCTGCCCCCTGGTGGTCAGTGCACATCATAACAACAGGTTGTTCAGTTTGGTTGCTTAAACTTTTATGTATATATATTAATACTAGAGGCCGTTGCATGAAATTTGTGCACAGGGGGTGGTGGTGTCCCTCAGCCTAGCCTGCATCCTCTCCAACTCTCCAACTCTCCATCCTTGAGGGATGTCCGACTGCCCGTTTAGGCCCAATCCAAGGGGGTTCGCTTCTGCCTGCCAGCCTGATCACCCCCTAACCACTTCCATGCCAGCCTGATTGATGTCTAACTGCTCCCCTGCCAGCCTGTTTGTCACCAACTTCCCTCCTCTGCTGGCCTGGTCACCCCTAACTGTCCTCCCCTGTAGGATTGATCACCCCCAACTGCCTCCCCTGCTGGCCTGATCACCCACAACTGCCCTCCATTGCAGGCCTGGTTGTTCCCAACTGCCCTCCCCTGCTGGCCATCTTGTGATGGCCCATCTTATGTCCACAAGGGGCGCAGGATCTTGGACCACATGGGGGCAGCCATCTTGTGTGTTGGAGTGATGATCAATCTGAATATTACTCTTTTATTAGATAGGATAGTGGCCTGGTGTATGGGTGGGGGCCGGCTGGTTTGCCCTGAGGGTGTCCCAGATCAGAGTGGGCGTTCCCTTGGGGTGTGGGGAGGCCTGAGCAAGGGGCCTGTGGTGGTTTACAGGCCAGCCATGCCCCCTGGCAACCCAAGTGGAGGCCCTGGTACCTGGGATTTATGTATCTTCTACAATTAAAACTTTGTAGAAAACTCCTGTATGTCTTTTGAAGAAACTATCTTTCAAATCTAAATTCCTACTTTAAAGTAGAAAATCACATCACTGTTCTTGTGTTAGGTAAGGTAGCAAAGTCAACTAACCTGCTTATACTCAATCTCAGATCCTTCTTTTGAAAAGTGAAGTGAATGAGAGGAAATATCTCAAAGAACTGTTTTTAAGATGAAATTAAATAAGTTATGTGAAGAAACAGGAATTATTCAAGGTGGGTTGTAAGCACCTTGTTCTGATTACTGTCTGATTTTCATTCCATTCTTCTGGGGAAAAAAGGCATACAGTTCAGTTGAAAATCAGCAATCTATGAGGACAACATTTTGGGAAACTAAGTTAACACTTGACATAAGTCCTTCAAATTTAAAGTAAACAAATCTTTGGAACAGCTGGAAGAATGCTGGCTACATATGAAATATTGTGGACAGCATATAGGGAAGAAAACTGAAAAAATAATTTTTGAGGGAGTTGATGAGAAGAAACTAATTCAAAAACAAACAAAAGAGAAATCACACATGCTTTGGAAATAGAAGAAATAAACCATATCTTTTTTTTAAAAAATATATTTTATTGATTTTTTTTGCCCCCTTCCCTCCCTCCCACACATCCCCTCCCTCCCCAGAGTTTTATGTCCATTGGTTGTACTTATATGCATGTATAAAAGTCCTTCGGTTGATCTATTATCTCCCCCAGATCTTCCTCCCCTCCCCGCTGTAATTTGACAGTCTGTTTGTTGATATACTGTCTCTATATCTATCTTTTGGTTCATCAGTTTATAATGTTCTTTATTATCCACAAATGAGTGAGGTCATGTGGTGTTTTTCTTTCATTGACTGGCTTATGAAATAAACCACATCTTTTAAGAGAAATAAGAACCAGATATTAAATTTGAAAAACATTTACCTTTAGGCACACAATGTGCCCTTAGTTCTGAGGCCAGAGATCCATCACAGACAGGGTGCTGCTAGGTTAAGGAGCCTTCTCAGAGCCCCCTTCACATCCCTGTTCCTCAGGCTGTAGATGAAGGGGTTCAGCATGGGGGTGACCACAGTGTACATTACTGAAGCAACTGAGTTTTGTAGGGAAGAATGGGTCAAAGCTGAACTGAGGTAGACCCCCAGGCTCGTCCCATAGAACAAGGAGACCACGGAGAGGTGAGACCCACAGGTGGAAAATGCTTTATATTTCCCTCCTGTAGATGACATTCTCATTAAAGCAGAGACAATCCTAGAGTAAGAAAACAGAATTCCTGTGAGAGGAAGCACTCCCAGGAAGGCAGCAGACACATACAAGACAATGTTGTTGATGAGGGTGTCAGAGCAGGCCACCTTGAGAATCTGAGCCAATTCACAGAAGAAATGTGGGATTTCAGTGCCGACACAAAAGGTCAGCTGCCTCATCAGTAGAATATGAAGCAGAGAGATCCAAAACATGATGAACCAAGATATCAGAACCAGAGTGCCACAGAAGTGTGGGTTCATGATGACTGTGTAGTACAGGGGGTGGCAGATGGCCACATACCGGTCATAGGCCATCACAGTCAGAAGTAAGGTGTCCATTCCAGCAAAAATCATTAAAAAGTACACCTGAATGAGGCACCCAATATAGGTAATGCTTTTGCTCTCTTCCTGGACATTCACTAGCATCTTTGGGACCGTGGTGGAGGTGAAACAGATGTCAACACAGGACAGGTTGGTGAGAAAGAAATACATTGGGGTGTGGAGGTGGGAGTCAGAGCTGATGGTCACAATGATGAGCAGATTTCCAAGCACAGTGAACAGGTACATGGACAGGAACACTCCACAGAGGAGGGGCTGCAGTTTAGGATCATCTGAGAGTCCCAAGAGGAGGAATTGTGGTGCTTCTGTGTGATTTTCTGCTTCCATGAAGCTGGTGTTTTATTTTTTTGTAGAAGGAGGCAAAAGCAGCATTCAATGAATAGTAAAATGTTATCTCAGCTAATCATCACCTTTTAAAAATTAAATATATTTTTATTGATTTCAGAGAGGATGGGGGAGAGAAATAGAAACATTAATGATGAGAATCATAAATCAGCTGCCTCCTGTCTTCTCTCCTCCCGCCTCCCTCCACTGAGGATAGAGCAACTTTGAGAATCAAACCAAAACCCTCTGGTTCATGGGTTCATGGTCAATTAACTGATCTTTGCTGCCTGGACTATGCAGCACCTTTTGATTTCAGCATTGCGTGGGCATCTTATATGATCTAGTAGTTATTCCAACACCAGTGATTTACTCATTTAAGGGTAACCCAGTTTTATTTTAAATTGTGTAATCATTCTGACTTTTTAAAATTTAGCAGTAATGTTTCTATCTCTTGTTGATATTCTACTCACTGATTTTAATTCTCTTATCTAAATTTTAGGTTATAAATCAATTTCTTCTCTCATATCAGCCTTCCAAAACTAAAGACATATAAAGTATTTTCTTTGATAACCTCCATACCTCTTTCATTTCATAATAGTCATTTAAACATGGGCTTTCACCTCAAACAATCTTATGTCTATGGCCTGATGCTTTATATTGATGTCACAGTTAACTCTCCATGTGGCTTATTGTATGTTGGTCTAAAAATATGGTTACTGCTAATACCATCTTTCTGAGGTATCAAAATGCCTTTAATTACAATAAGAACTCAATAAATTATAGATGTTATTGTCATTATTTATCTATATCTTTTATCTCAATTATTTTCTTTTTGTTAATCCTCATCAAGAATAATGCCTTCCCCCCAATTAATTTTTAAAGAGAGTGGAAGAGAGAGGAGAGGAAGAGAGAGAGAGAGAGAGAGAGAGAGAGAGAGAGAGAGAGAGAGAGAGAGAGAACATCAATGTGGAAAAGATACATTAATTTATTGGTTCCCACATGCACCCCTGCAACTGAGGTATTTGCCCTTGACCCTTTAGTCCATAGGTCACTGGTCGAACCAGTGAGCCAAACCAGCCAAGCTAAATTATTCTTTAGATATAACTCTTTCAAAGTACAGTATAGAACTACAATTTACAAAGTAGGATCTTGTCAAACATCCTGGAATAGAATTTGGTCTACCATCTTACATCTTTATGACCTTGACAAAGTTATTTTAGCTGCTGATACCTCACCTGTATAATGAGAGTAGTCAATATTTTTTACATTGTAGGACAGATGAATGATTACATGAGATGATACATATAATTTTTCTAGTGTAGTTTCTGTGACATACAGTGTGCACTTGGTAAAAGTGAATTTCTGTTCTTAACATCACCATAAGTCTGTCTAGCATGGTCATCATTTTTTGTATTTCTGAAAATACTGAGCTGGGTCAGTCATCATTATAAATATACAGGTCTGTTATCTTTTTTTTTTATCACTATGCATCACTTCTAAGTAATGAAGATCCTTTTGACTTCCTCTTTCAGAGACTGCCTGCCAAGTGGGTTCTTCCCAGAAGAGGAAGATGCTTATGCACTACATAGATAATAGGGGGAAACAAAATCACACTACCATCATAATAAAATAGAAAGCATGTCTGAGGCTATGTGTCCATGCGTACATGCTATTAAATGGAGATGAGTGGAAAAAAATGATATAATTTTTTAAAGTATTCAAAGTGTCTATCTATGAAGTCATCCTAAAATTTGAAAGGGAAATTTAAGACTTAAAAATAAAAAGGCAACCGTTTTAATGGGAGAAGATATTTACAAACAATACCTCCAATAAAGGGGCTAATATCCAAAATATATAAATAACTAATTCAATTCAGCAACAAAAAAAACCAACCAGTTCAATTTGAAAATGGGCAGAAGATCTGAACAGACAATTTTCCCAAAAAAGACATGGAGAAAGCCACCAGATATATGAGGAAAAGCTCAAGTTCACCACTAGCTACGGGGAAAATGCAAATAAAATCCACAAGGAGATATCCCCTCATATCTGTTAGCATTGCTATTATCAATAACAAATGATAATAAGATTTTGAGAGGATGTGAAAAAAAGGGAACACTTTTGGGAATAAAAAATGGTGCAGCCTCTATGTAAAACAGTATACGGGTTCATAAAAAAAAATGAAGAATAGATTAATTTTATCACTCAGCAATTCCTCTTCAGGGTATTCACCTGAAAAATTTGAAAACATTTATTTGTACAGATATACGTAAGTACTTTTATGTTTATTGCAGCATTATTCACTATAATCAAGATATGGAAACATCCTAAGTTTCCTTCAATGGATGACTGGATAAAGTAGATGTGGTATATTCATATTATTGAAAACTACTCAGCCATTAAAAAGACAAAATACTGCCATTTGTGACAACATGGATGGATTTTGAGAGTATCATTCTAGGTGAAAAATGTCAGCTAATAAAGGACAGCAATCATATGATTTCCCTCATATGCTGAATAGAAAACAGCAATCAACAAGTGAACAAACAAAACAAACTTATAAATGTAGACAATAGTATGGTGATTATCAGTGAAGGAAGGTGTAGAGGGAGCATAAAAGAGTATAAAGGGTCAAATATATGGTGATGGAAGGAGACTAGACTTTGGGAGGTGGTGAGCAAACAATAGAATATTCAGATGATGTATTATACATTTTTAAATCCAAACTTACAGGGTGTTATTAACTAATATTATCCCAATATATTTGATTTTAAAAAGAATGTACATAAATGTTTATATTCTTAATAAAATGTTTTGCTATTCCTAATGTCTAGAGGAAGCTAATTAAATGAGAGAGAAAAATCACTGAGGACCTATTCAGTCTGTGAAGGTTGCAGAAAAGACTTTTCTGAAATATGAATATTTGAGCAGAGAAAGGAAGCATGGGTAATTGTGAATTAGGAGAAATTGAAAAAGGGTAAGCACTTAGGACTAAGAGAAGAGAATTTGCAGTTGTACTTGGGTTGGTGAGCTTGGTATCAGAAGGGTTTTGAGAAACCAGTGAGATAGAGAACAGGTCACTGATGGGATAGAGTGTGTGAGTCCTACTGTCTGAGCATCCTGTACTCTTCCTTGTTGGTAAGTTTAAGTTCATTTGTTGGTTAGAAGTTATAATTATTTTTGCTAATTTTTGTCATGTCAGGAACCTATCAGGTACCTGGCACAGGTGCTGAACATATACAAATGTAGATGTATAATAATGTTTGAGACCAAAGTGTCAGCTATAACACAAAAGGGAAATATTCCAGCTCATCATATTATGGTTTTCCTCTTGCTAAATTAGCAATCGAATGGCAATTTCTTAACAACAGCTGTTTTAAAAGGGCAGACAATAGATTATTCTACATTAACTCACTGGAATAGTCGTATTAAATTCATAAACAGGCAACACACTCAATTCCATCTTCAAGTACTGGATATTCTGCTAAACATCCAAAGAGATGGGTAAAATGAAGAAAGAAAATTTGCCTGAGTACTGAAAATCAGAAATGATTATATTATTAGCAAGTACAATTATGGACACTGAGGTGAAACAACAATAACATCAATATAGAACTATTAAGTGATACCAGTTGAATCAGATCTGCTGCAAAATAGGTAGGGAGTACAATAACGAAACCCAATCACATTAGTAACAACATATACAATACCTTGTGCATAGTAGATCTCCAGTGAGTGGTGAATGAATGAATTGTTGAAGATCTGGAAATCAAGAAAATCCTACAGCTTGGGAAAATAGATTGAGATAATCTGCCAAACAAGTCTCACTGCAGAGATCTCTTGATCCCAAAAAGAGAGAGAAGGAAACAGACCAAAAGCTGGAAAAAAAAACAACAACCCAGGTTTCAGTGGAAACAAAAGTACCTTTAAAGTACAGGGACTTCATTGTCATAAATTATATACTACTGGGCTGTCCCCATCTAATTATTCCAGAGATAAAGCACAGTACCCTCTTTGTCTCATTTCCTTCTCATGCCACCATCCCTCACTGGAAACTAGGACCTTCTCTGAAGGTTATCACTGAAGCTCTCTGCTCTCCAAGGTCTATCCCTGGCAAACTCAACTGAGTTTCTATTTGGCTCGGTTTAGAGAATTAAGGAAATGGACAAAAGGCACACATTTAAAGTTTCCCGCATTTCAAGCGCTGAATTCTCAGAGCTCTTCATTAAGTAAATTGTTCCATTGTCTTTGCACTCTCCAAACAATTCAGATCCCCTGAGAGGCAAAACTAAAAGAACGGAATATTTTTCTCTGATGCTGTTCTATACTAACATCAAGTGGGGGAGATATATTTATTTCCTCCAAGGAGAAACACTTCTTTCTTTGATTTTATTTAGAATTGACAAGGAATATTTAATTGTCTCAGAAACTCACTTTCTGTGATGTTCTTCTCCTGAACAACTTTGTAGGTGCCATGGATCCCTTGGTGTTTATAGTGATGCAGGGGTAGAGAGGTCTTTTCTAAAGAGTTTTGAGTCACCATTCTGGTAGATAGGTGTAAGTGATCTTGGTCATCGATGTCATTGTGTGACCATGGCAATGGGCATGCACTGGCATTCTGCTGTTCTCAGTGACTGAATGGGAGCAGCTCAGGGGCAACCACTGTGCAAGTATAGTGGTGAATGCAAATGTCAAGACATCTGAATGGGTCTCCTGGGTGAGGCAGCTTCCTTTAACTGATGGGTATTTTCAGAGGCCTGAGTGCTGTCAAATGGCTGACCTGCCTGCACCTGGATCATAAGTCCTTAACCCTGAAGGGGGATTTGGGGAAAGGGTACAGTATTATCTGGTCCATCTCTAGGGACATTTGAATGAAAAAAAAAATACAACTTTTTTTTTAGCCTTACAGGATTTAAAAAACTTATTTAAATAAGTCAGAAATAGTTAAGTGTCCCATGATCACACTCATATGTGGAAGCTAATGAACAAAATAAACTGATGAACAA